CTACAATTATTGCACTTTTTTCAAAAGTCTTAATATTGCTCCAAACTGTAAAAATAAAAATTGGAAAGAGTGGTATGGTATGCAAGAATAATGATAATAAATGAAAAAAATCAACACCAGAAATGATTTGGACCTCAGTATCCAGCTCAAAACACAAGTTGAACTTGATAGCACTGCCTCCTCCACTGTTTTTTCCACTGTGAGACTGATGAATGTCTCCCTCCACACCAGTTTAAAACCATCTGGTAGTTATTTTATCATAATTTTAATTTATTAACATTTCTCCAGCATACCATACTCCAAGTTCCAATTTTTATTTTTTCATTTGGAGCAATATTGAGACTTTTGAAAAAAGTGCAATAATTGTAATATTTTTTGAAAATTTTAAAAATCAGTTTTTCATATTTTTGTTTTCAAAATCATTTTTTGAAACCTCTTTTATACCACTTGCCCAAGTCTCATGATTGCAAGTTGGTGGGTTAGGGTTTTGTAATCCAAACAAGTTGGCTATATACATCTGGGAGGGCACTGTACAGGCCTTATATCTAGCTCTTCTTCCGCACGCTATCAGCTCCTCCGTTCAAGTACTTTATGCATCTAGTTAACCCCTCCCCCCTTCTCGCTGGTTACATCAGGAATCAGAGCTTTACGTATATCAACTTGCCCATTGATCTTTTCTGGTAGAATGTCAGTGATAATGAAAATTAGTGATCTCAAGAATTAATTTTGTATATAAATGTTCATATCAATATTCATATTTTCCACATGACCTCAGCATGAAGCAAAAATTCTGGCATTAAGCCAGTTCATGGCAAAGTGCCATCAGTAAGTACTTATGGTATCCATCAACAAACTGGCTTCTATTTGCTTGGACTTGGGTTTAATTTGGATCTCCAATTTGAGCCTTAATCATAGGTCAAAATTTGTTGAGATCAGCAACTGGTTCAAGCTGCACCAACAGCCAAAAAGCGTTTCTTTCTGTTGAATTTCCTGTGAGCCACTGGCACAATTCTAGGTAGCAACCATCAGAAATAAACAAAACTTGCTCGCCCAAGCCTTTCACACTTCAAATCAAGGAAGTATGAGTAATACGTTCTGATGGGAGCGTGTTTACGTCATCCAAACATCTCGAAAATCTGTAGCAGTTGCAGAGAGTTCTGTATTTGAGCCACTCAGATGAAAACCTAAACCACCGCGGCGCTCTGTGCGCTCGCTGTGCCCTGTTTTCCTGTTTTGGAGATGGGCGGTTGAAGATGTGGGTGCACTGCTACTAGCACAGCCCTCACCAGCACCCACCACGATGACCCGATCGATCATCACCAACATCCGAGCCATCCCTCGTCTGTTGACCCCGCTCTCTTCACCATCTCGCCAGTCTAAACTACGGCAGCCGAGAACATACCATCGACTCGTCTCATCATCATCATCATCATCATCCTCAACATCACCACCACCTTTCTCAACCGGTCATCACCACAATCCAAGCAAGAACACCTCTTCTGATCGCGCAATCGTCCTCGGCCTCTTATCATTCACTACTCTGCTCGGCGTTGGTATCGGAACTCGGGCGAAATGTGATCAGAATAGTAGGAAAGAAGCTGCCATTGAAATTGAAAATTCGTCTAAAAATGCATCAGACGAATCCCCCGAAAATTCCGAACAGGGTGCTTTCAGTACGTCAACGCCCTACCTACTTATTGGAAACAACACTTGAAATCTGACTGGGAATGATACATATTTCATCGATAAACGTGTACATGAAGACCCAGAAA